CGCGTTGAGGTGGTAGTCCGGGGGGGCCTCGTCCACCCTACACTCTCCAAACTTGGCTTTGAACTCGCCGAAGATTTGAGGGCCATCCTCCCATCTCCCCTCCCCTCCCCTCCCCTCCCCTCCCCTCCCCTCCCCTCTCCTCCCCTTCCCTCCGCTTTGGGAGGGAGGGGAGGGGAGGGGAGTGGGGCGAGGCAGGGGAGGGAGGGGAGAGAGGAGGGGAGGGAAAGCATGAAAGCACTGCCAATGTACTGTCAACATCTTGCCACTTCTTGGATCTTCTTGGCATCACTAGCGGCGTCAAGCGGATCCGGGCTTGATGAATGATCCATGCCTTTGACTAGAAGTCGGCTGGAAGCAGACGCTCTCTCTGCAGCATGTGCCGACCAAGGTCAGGGTTGATGGAGTTGCACTACGACACTATGAGGAGCCTCTGCGCTACTAGAACTTATGCCATAGTGCTTTCGATCCCTCTTGCACTCCCGTATCTGATGCTAGAGCTCAGCACCTGTAAAGAAGCTCGGGGCCGTTTGCCTGCGCTGGCTTCAGAAGGAAGCGGGCCAAAGAACGTGCAGCGCATCCCGTGCAAAAGAAATTACCAAGCATGGACAGAGCCGCTTAGCTGCCTCATCTGCCTCAAGACATTCGTCGATTTGCGGTGCTGCCAAGTGAAAGAAATTGTACTCGTAGCATTGCCAACTGGCGCCTTCAGAGGCTTACACCGCGTGCGCTGGTTACAGCGGCCTCTTGGACTTGTGCTTTTTTAGTTGTTTGGAAGCGATCAGCCTCGCCAAGGTCTAATCCCAGGCAAGATCTCCGGCAATATTGCCGGGCTCTCACTCGCCAGTCCTGTCCCTGCAGCTTTGGCTGGATGCTAGAAGAGCCGCCTGCCTGACAGCGTATGCTGGCTTGAAGATGTCTCCACGGCTAACACTTCGAGAGATATGGTTGGGCTTTCAATGAGTGCCGACATGAAATGCCCAAATTACATAGGGAATTTCGAGCTCGAGTCATTGCGAAGTCTCGTGTCCTTGGCGCGAGTCCCCTCACTCAGCCAACAAATGTAGTACGAATGCTGTAGATGCTTCTGGTCTCATCCTCCCTGCAGCCATGGGCACCTGCCTTTGTGCATGCTTTGATTGTAAATGCCTCGAGGACAGTCGAAGCAGCTTGTTTCTTGTTGGCCACGCACCGACTGGATTGCCTGGCATGTATAAAGCTCGAAACCAGTGCCTCCATCCTTGGCATGGGAAGGGCTACTCGATCCGCTTCGTTGAGCCGCAAACTGGAGATTCAATCGCAGGCATGCCGCTGGGAAGCACCGAAGTCGAATATCGGTTTGATTTTGTCTCTTTCCATCCTGTTCTATTCCGAGCTCAGCTCAAGTTTGGGCTGCTTGTTTCAGGAGAAAGCCCACGAGCTAGCATCCAGCCCCACAAGTAGACAGAGGTCTGCGTCGAACCTTTGTCAAGGTAGTTCGTGGTTCCGTTCAGGCGAACCGCGGCTTGCAATGGCGCCCAACGTCACCCCTCGGCTGGAGGGCAAAAGCAGGTCCAAAGAAAACAAACAAAGAACAAAAAGGAGGAAGATTGGGCAAGCCGGGGAACTGAAACAGCTCGAACAATGGGAAGCTCTGCGATGCAAGACGACCTTCCGACCTGCCTTCGAAGATCGGCTCCAGCACTGTCAAGCCTTTTTCTGCTCCAGCAACGGAAATCCTGCAAAAGCACTTTGTGTTTTGTCAGGGAACGAACGACAGCATCACTTCACGACGTTGTTCGTAATTGTGGAGTTTCAGTGCCACCACCGGCTTCAGAGTTTAAGTTTCGATTAGAAGTGCGGTCATTTTGTCCTGAGTCCAGGATTAGATTGACCAGATTGAACCGGGTAGGCTTCGAGGTATAAGCCTAATGGGACGATCCGGGAAGATGTCCGCGCCATGAGGCGACAGAAGGGAGGGCAGCTGTGGCAACATACAGCTTCTTTGAGAATCTAAGGCGAGTCCTGTCCTTGCCGCGGCTAACCAGCTTTGTCCGTGACAGCGACGGAGACTCACTACAGTTTCATGCGGAGTGGCAAACGGAGTCCCTGGAGTTCTTGCGATCTGCAGGAGACTCACCTCCACTGCGCGCTCGTAGTTGGTCATCCTCCACCTATCCGCTGAGTGTCTTGGATGATTCGTCGGATGCATTCGGAAACTTACGTATACTTCCTAGACTCCTAGACTCAGAAACATATTGCCGGCTAGATCGAGGAGACCTTCTCTCGCCAAAACGAATGAATGGTGACGAGCTTTTGCTCGATGGTGGCGAGACTTACCGGGCCAACAACATCCTGCATCTGTGGACCGCTGGCCACAACTTGGACAGGGCTTGAAGGTGATTTGCTGCGCCCTGTGTGTTGCAAGACATGCTGGAGCCTTCAAGGAAAGTCCGGGGGGCCAAGCGGCCCATTACTGACTTTTACACGAAAGTGCAGGTGCTCGGAGAGGCAAGCTTCACTGGTGTTGTCATGTGAAGTCTGTGTGATGGATTTACGCATGTGCATGCAGTTGCGACGTTTGCGACGTTTGTGTTCATGGCAGATTTTCAGTCAAACGCATTTGCCGGTCACGTTCTGAAACAAAGGGCAAGGTGTCCCGGGTGTGTCATCTACCAGACACAGGTTAATCAGAACCAGCGAGTGCAGGCTGCAACGACTTGCAACACCTCCTTCAAGTTTTTCCTGACCCGATCCACAGCTACTCGTATTCAGGCATGCTTCGCCCGCACAGCAAGCAGTGCTAATCACTGCGATTACTTTAGAGCTCTCTGTGGCAGTGACGCATGGATCCACTGACAACTTCTCTTGTCGATTCAAACCTTTTTGAGAAGCTCGCGCAACACCCGGATGTGCGCAAGCATCTGGCTGATCCTGGCTTCGTTACGGAGCTGAAGAGGCTGCAGCAGCTGGCAAATGACTCTTCGGAAGCTGAGCCCGAGGCCGCCGCAGCGGTGGGGCAGAAGGTGGCGCAGGCCGCCCACCGCGATCCTCGAGTGATGCAGGCACTTATGGCACTTCAGGGCCAGGGCCTCTCTGTGGAGGAAAGTGACCTTCGCCATGCCGAAGAGGTTGGGGATATGCAGCGCCGCGAGCCCGTGCAACTGGAGCAGATGTTGCTTGTACGAGACCTACAAGACCCCGACGAGGCTCGCATCAAAGGAAACGAACACTTCAAAGCAGGAAAAGTGCCGGAAGCGCTTGCGCATTACGAAAAAGGCCTCGAGCTTCTGAGACAGCAGTCGTCGGTCTCTGCTGCAGCTGTTGCCACCCTCCTCAGCAATTCAGCGCTTTGTCTTTTGAAGCTGAAATGGCCTGATCGGGCCAAGAAGAAGGCGACCACGGCCATTCTCGCAATTCAGCAGGCAGGCGACCCGAATTTTGACCAGTCCAAGCTGTTCTACAGGAGAGCCTTGGCCTGCGAAGCATTGAAAGAATTCAGGATGGCAGTGGAGGATATGAGCCAGTCATTAAAATATGCCGAGAAAACCTCGTCGAAATCAGAAGTGCAGCGGTTGCGCGGTGAAATAGAGCGATTGAAACGGCTGCGGGCATCTGCTGAAGCTGATGCAGAGAAGAAGAGGCGGGCAAAGGACGGTGAAAAGGCCGCTGAAGTTCAGCGAATGCAAGGCACTGAGCTCCAGACAGCTGCTGGCTATGCTGCTCAGCATCTGAGCAAGGAGTATCTTGCAGAACAGGACTTCTCTCACTGGACGACCGGCCGAGTACGAGATGCGGTGGTCGGTGTATCTCACACTTGCCCGAGCGGAGCAACAATTGAACTTGTGGAGCTTAAAGAGCAGACGAAGATCAGCGCGGCCATCACCAACAAGAAAGGCAAGCGGGCCCTGTACTACGAGATGGATCTCCACTGCCTCTGGCAGGGAAGGTCTGCAGACGGTGAAATGCAAGGCTTGATACGAGTTTATAACATTGCACACGACACACAGTTTGAACTCGGCGGTGATGAAAACACTTCGTACATGTACCAGTTGGGCTGGGACCAAAGGCAGTCAGGCTCCTGGGTGGAGGAGATGAAGAAAGAAGCTGCTGAGTTGTTTGACCTTGTTGCTGTCAAGGTGGATGGCGTGATCAAAGACCTGAAGAGCAAGTAGCGGGAAAAGAAGCGAACGGAGCCACATGTTCTCGGATTTGACAGCCTGTCCCTCTCGACATCGCGGCTCGCTGTTTGCAGGGTGCCTTTGGAACCGTTTCCAAGTGGCGCGTCAACGGCATGTACGAATCTGCCGACAATCACGTGGCTGTGAAACTGTGGCTTTGCTTGGCCAGCTAAGCTTGTACTTGGTGATAATTGTCTTGTCTCGTGCCTTTTCGTTTCGGTAAGGTATGTGATACCTTTGTCTGTCGACCATAAGGATCAAGTGGCAGGCAGTGTGGCAGCTTGGCCCAGATTTTCATGCGCGGACTGCTACAGGCACGTGTTCTACCCAAGGCAAGGTTTCTTTCGGAATCGCGCTGCGGAAAAAGAGATTCGAAAAGAACTGAAGCTTCTCTTGATATTGGACAACCCGTTCATCATCAAGCACGTTGGCTGCAATGGCACGTGGGGCTGCACGAATGTGCCTGGTGCCTGCTTCATCGTCAAAGCCAGGTTTCGTGAGTGGTTCGAAGATCCTTGCAACGGGATCTTCTTCGTAATGGAACTGTGCACTGGGCCGTCCCTGCAGAACATACTTGAGGACAGAACTATGCTGTCTACAGCGTCTCATAGCAGCTTTGTCCAATGTTTATCGCCTGTGAAGGACGTCTGTGTGCTGTCCGAGCATTCGGAGCGCACGGCATACTTGCAGAAGCTGCGACGGTTTCCGGGCTGGCATTGGTGTCTTTGTTTTAAAGGGTGGGACCGATGGTCATCGCCCGCACCGGTTGTATGCACCGGAACCAACTGAAACTCCCGAGCCTCTCGAGCCGCCTTTGAGGGGCTCATGTTTGGTGGTAACTTCCCGTGCAAAGCTAAGCGTAGAGTGCTCCGGCTTCAATCACCAGCATGGGCCCAGTGCAACGTGCCAGGCATTTTCGAGAGGTGACGTACGCCGTCAGCTACATTCACAACTTTGTCCCGGCTGTCATCCATCGGGATCTGAGCTTTTGTCGCATTCAGAGAAGTCGCGACATGCCACTAGAACGTGCGTGCATTGGATGATGTGCCGTTACAATTTGAGGAAGCCAGAGAATGTGCTGCTCGCATCCTGCTGTGACCACAGCACAGCGAGACTGATCGATTTCGGCTTAGCGTCCCTGAAGACTGACGAGGACTACGAGCCTCTGCCGCAACCCCATCCGGCTTCATCTGGCTGTCTCTTCAGCAATTGCATGGAAGTCAGAGCAATCTAGTAGGGGGTTTTCGTGACTCTGTCCAGAACTGGAAATCTTGGGTTTTGTTGGGGTTGTTTGGAGCATAAATTAGGTCCAACTCTCCAAGACTCTGAAGCGCGGAGTAGCTCTACGTACAGCCGCGCAGACAGACACGCATACATGCAGGCATGCATGCGTTTGGTCTGATTGTGCTGCCTTTCGGAAGCAAATTTTGTGGTGTCGCATGTATGGCGTCAGTGTCGGTTTGGCTTGAATTTGTTTGTTTCTGTGCTCTGAAGGTAAAAAGAACCCCTCTGGGACGGGGTTAGGGAGTCCTTTGAATCTGTGAGCATGCGTGGTTTTGGCTTCGATTCCCCCGGCCCCTGTGGGTGTGGGTGGGTTTGGTTCTCGGCAATATCAAGATCCACCCATAAATGACGACACTCGATATCAAGATCCAGATAATGGCGACAGTCACCAGGGTCGCGATGCATGCCGTTGACTGTTGGCACGATCGATGCGTCGTTGGTATCATCATCTTCGTCCTTGGCAGCATCTCCAGGGTATCAATTTTCTCGCATTCCCGAAAGGACGCCTGTCACGAGTAATTATTCTGCACCCGACAGCACCCCCCCCATGGCACCGCCATGTCTTTGTATAGGATATGTATAGGTGCGGTATGTGTTTATGTGATTCCGAGCTTTAATTGGGTTTGTTTACTTAGGCCCGCGACGGAACCGCCTCCGATACTGCAGCCGCGGGATTCAGACGGTTACTGGTCCCGTCCGGTTCCGCAGCACGTCCTTTCGCTTTCCCGCGGCTTTATTGGTGGCTAGAGGCGCTCGCCCGCTCGTCAGGCCGACGACGGCGACGCCGCTTTCATCGAAGAGGTTCCGGGTCTTCTCCCCGTTCGTCTTCGTCTGCCAGAACTGCTCGTCCGGTGCTGTCTTTTGACCCGACGGCAGTTCTGCTTCTGTCTCCGGCTTGCCTGCCTCAGGTCGCCGAGCCCGGAGACGGTCTTCTTCCTCTTGTCGGCGCCGTTCGTCTTCACGATGCTCGGCTCACTCCGAGGACCGATTCGGGGGTTGCCTTGAGTGCTGCCGCATGCTTGCTTGCAATATGGGCACCTTGAGCTTCTCTGAATTTATGTTCGTTTGCCGCAGCCGCTTCTGATCTGCCTCCTTTCTGACCTCACTGTGACCATGGCCGTCCTTCCGGTGTCTCTGCTTCCGAATCGCAGCCGGAGCCTGCTGCCACCGTCCCTGGCGCGGCTGCCGCACCGCCCCTCTTTGACGAATGAGGGCGGGGACCTTCCGACTGCCCCCGCCCTTTAGGTGGACGGCGTGGAGGATGAATAATCCTCAGCTCCGTCCCCGGAGCCTGCTTCTGTGGTGGCGTGCAGCCCCTCCACGTCCGTATCCGGGGCTTCAACGGCATGGACGGAGATCCTGAGTTTATCTGAGTTTCCTTGACTCTCCGAACGGGCCCGCCAGTCTGCCCTGTCCGGCTTGCCGACCGCAGAGCTTGTCGAGCTCACGGTGGAATGCCTCCGCCATGGGCCGCCTGGGCTGGTAGGAGCAGTCTGAGGAAGCCACCTGCAAAAACACCGGCTCCGGCTCACACTGCTGCTCCGAAGGCAGCGGACCCGTCGGCTCATGCTGCGACTGGCGGCCAGGGCGGCCCCACGTCTCCCCATGAGGATGCCGACTACTGGGAGACGATGCGGACAGCCTTCCTGTCGCTGTCCGTCCCCGTCTCCCTCCAAGCTGGAGTGTTCGCCATGGACAACTGTTCAACCTTGGTGTGCAAGGTGCTGGACCTCCGTCCACCACACTAGCCTGGTATGTTCCAAGCTCTGTCTCTGCCCAACGCTAGCCAGGTATGCTCTGTGAGCATTTGCACTCCCCTCCCAGCTATGCTGGGATTTAAAATAGGGTAAGCTAGTTCGGAAGTAACGGGCATACACGAGCAGATACGAGCAGCGAAAAAATACGGATCCTAAGGATCACCGGCAAGGCTTCAGGAGGTCTGTGTCATTAGCATTAAAAGTGGAAAAGTAGCCAGAGAATCTATACAGAAGCACTTAAGTTCCTGCACAGACAAGACCGGCTATAGAGACTCAAGGCCTTTCACGAGTTCACGGTCGCCTTCGCGCAACTTCAAACTCCGTGCGTCCCGTCCAGAGATGAGACAACTTACGCGCCCCACACTCAGTAGTGTCAAGAATGTAGTCAGGTTCATGCCCGTCAAAGAGATACCAGGTCTTCCGACGACCTGTAAGCTGTACATACGGAAAGCGCTTGACTATCTCTGCTGGTGCATGAAACAGCTGCGATCTCGAAGAGCTGTGGAAACGAACCAGCATGTGGCTCGCTTCATCATAGCACCACCGATCGGAAGGTTCAGGGTCAACCCAACCATCCGCCCAGCCAAAGCTACATCCGAAGAGCTGCCTTTCGTACAGCCTTTCTTGCTCAATGCGCTGCGAAGCCGCACTTCAGTAGGACTGCACCTGATGCTGTCCTGTTTCGACCGTCTGTACATTGGGCTGACAACTGCCAGTGCGCAACAAACTTGGAGACTTCCCAT